CCTAAAAGTAATTTTTCATTAACTATTACGTTCATCCAAAATGTAATAATAAAATGAATAAAATAAAATAAAATAAAATTGTTGTCAAACAAACTTCATTAACTATTACATTCATCCAAAATGCAAGAAAAAAATAAAATAAAATTGTTATCAAATAAAATAAAAATATTTACTACACAATATCTCAAACTCCGTCATCATGAATCACATCCAAGTTCTACAAATTTCAATTCCATGCATTTGGTTGATCAACCCTGCACAAAAACAAGCTGAAAAATAAAAAGATAAAATCTACTGCTATGGAGTTGGAATGTTTAGTGGTAAGATGGTCAGTAAAAATTGAAGGAAAATCCAAAGCATGATTTGCTTCAAAGTTCAAAACTAATAAAGTGGCTTTGATTCAAAAGAGCAAAGATGGTTTTGTTATAAATCAGAGACCTTATTGAACCAGTTTAAACTTCACGTGAAGTGGCTTTGATTCATTGATTGATAGCTTAATCTAAATCAGGAAAATCATGAACCAGTTTAAACTTCACATAAAAACAAAACCAGAGACTTTATTGCCTTCATTTAAAAAACAAAACAAGAAAACCTTAAATAAGGGGGAGAAATAGAACAAAAAACACAAACATAGAAAACATCTCAATTCGGTTTCATTTTCAGAACCTGATTTTTGAATTTATTTTATTTTATTTTTTGAGTTTTTCGTATGGTTTCTCTCTTTTTTGGCCAAAATAAACACCAAAGACTTGTTTTCACCCCAAAAAAGAGAAAAACCCATATGAAAATGACGGTGTTTTTTTTTTAATTTTTTTATTGCCTTCATTTAAAAAACAAAACAAGAAAACCTTAAATAAGGGGGAGAAATAGAACAAAAAACACAAAAATAGAAAACATCTCAATTCGGTTTCATTTTCAGAACCTGATTTTTGAATTTATTTTATTTTATTTTTTGAGTTTTTCGTATGGTTTCTCTTTTTTTTGGCCAAAATAAACACCAAAGACTTGTTTTCACCCCAAAAAAGAGAAAAATCCATATGAAAATGACGGTGTTTTTTTTTTTAATTTTTTTTCACCAAACTAATCTTTTGTTTATTTGAAATAACTTCATAAAACAGATTCCAAAAACAAAACTAAACAGAGTAACTTGTTCAATGGAGATCCACAAATGAACACATCTAAAAAGTGTGGATGATTTCAACTTTAGTAGGCCATTCCAGTACACCCCATAAGGTTTAAAAGATCAATGGTAGCTAGCTATTAACCAACACTAGCTAACCTTGATAATGATAAGAGATAATAGAGGTTGCCGATCAAACAAAGTTTCAAAATCTAAACATTAAACACATAAGTTTGACATAACAATAAGATTTTAAATTCAGATTCAAAAAATAACAGAATAGGAGAATAGAGATAGAGAGAGAGAGATAGAGACAGAGAGAGAGTGAGACAGATCTGATAGAGAGAGTCTTTACCTGCGACTTGCTGGAGAGAGGAATGATCTTGCCAACGTCGATCAGTGCGAGCTGTGTAGATGAAAAACGAGAGAGAGCAAGACAGAGACAGAGACATAGATGAGAGAGCAAGATGAGAAACAAATCACAGATTGGGAAAGAGAGCAAGATAGAGACAAAGATGAGAGACTTCTTCCTGAGAGTTGTCGGAGGAGAGAGACAGAGAGAGATTGCGAAGCTCGATCGGTGCGCGCAAGCTGCGTAGATGAGAGACTGAGATGAGAGAGTGAGATGAGAAGAGTCTCAGATAGATAGATGTTTTGATTTGAGATTAGGGTTTCTCTTTTGTTTGGGTAAAGAATATCTCATAGTTGAACGTCCATGTTTTCCAAAAAGGAACGGTCCAGGTTTTTCAAAAAAAAAAAAAAAGAAGAAGTGCGGCGGTTGTGGCTAGTGCAGGTCAAACCCACAACCCACCCGCAACCCGAAAAATTACAATATTTCAAACCGCACCCTACCCTATTGTATTTGTGAAACCGCCCATACGTGTGCGGGTAGGGTCGGGTAGGGCGGGTTGTGCAGATCGGATAACCCTATGCCCAGCCCTACTTGGATCATAGCATAATACCACAAATATTTGTTAGAGTTGGACAATCATTCATAGAACAAATAACGGATGGCTCCAAGTAACAGACAGAGTAGGCAATTTATACATGGCATTTCATAGAACAAATCTTATTCCATATACAGAAAATAATTTAATTTGAACATAGCTTTACTAAGTTATTACTCACAAATAACGGATGGCTCCAAGTAACAAACAGAGTAGGCAATTCAGATATCTTATAGCACGTGACCTACACAAATATAGAACGAATACGTACTAAATTACACACCCAGAATCATTAACTTAGTTCTTTCTTGTCTTGATGTGTTTCTACTTCTTTATTCTCATTATGGTGTCTTAATCTTGGTCTAGGAATGCCTAAGATGGAAAAAGAATACAAAAATGCACTTGAAAACACTTAACAAAAAGTGCTGAAAACAGAGTCCTCGTTCGAGCGTGACTTCCTACGCTCGAGCAGACATGCAAAATGTGAGTGGTCGCTCGAGTGCAAGATCCATTGCTCGAGCAATCTATAAACTTTTGTAAAAGTGCTAGTTGCTTGATTTTTACGCTCGATGCTCGCTTGAGCGTGAGAGACACGCCCTCGCTCGAGCGGACTGCAAAACATAAGAACTTCTGGGTGCTTGCATTTCACGCTCGAGCAGACTTCTGGTCGCTCGAGCGGAAGTACACGCACTCAGAGTGGTCACTCGAGCGTAGACTTCTTCGCTCAAGCGGAAGTGCAAATTCTGGAATTTCCAGATTGCACTCCTTAGCTCAAAACTCGAATCTAACTCATCAAAACACAACTCTTGGCCCCTAAAACTTGAGAAAACAAGTTTAGACTTTGAAAACATTAAGAATTAAAGATCCTTTCACAAAATCAAGGCCCAAGAGTAAGTTAATTGTGCAAAAATTCAACTTGAAATGTAAGAGCATGATATGAACATGACATGCTTGTATTCACTTGGATTCATGGCTTCCAAAACATGATCAAATGAGGTTCAATGGTGAGAAATGGTATGAGTTCTTCAAACCATGCTAGAATTACAACATGCATGAGAGAAAATCTTTAAAGATAACTTCAAAATGTCATGAAATATGCATACATGCATGGTATGATTTATACTCCTTTTTAATTCAATTTCAACTTAATTCTCTTGTATTCATGAACTTGCCAACTCAAAAGCAAGACTAAAGGCTTGAATTCTTACCTTATACTTTGGATTCACAAGTGTAGAGGCTTAAATTTCTAAACTCTCATCAAGTTTCCAACAATTCCTAGCAATTCACCCCTTCTCCCTTGTTGAACTCACTCTCACTTTTGGTCTCTCTCTTTTCCCACGTTTGTAGCTCAAAAAGAATGAAATGAGAGTGTATGATGCATATAAGAGTCCACTAGTGCCTTAGTTAGGCTTGGATTAAGGAATTCATTAATTAGTCTTAATTGAACACTAATTACTCTAATTTAGTTGTTCCAAATCGAATTTCAATTAAACCAACCATAAAATTCTAAAAATCCCAAATAACACATAAACCAAGTTAATTTCAGAATCGGATGTCGATAAGGCCTTCAATTCACAAACCGAAACGAAAACATAAATAGATCTTCTTACGTTAAACAGATATAAACATAAATAATGCAATGCACATGTAATTAACTCAGAATTTCTTCTTAATTACTTGTTAGGCATACTTAAGCATGGATTAATGTTAATCATAGGTCGGGGTTATTACATCTTCATTGAAGATATTGACATGTATTTCTAGAGAGAGAGAGAGAGAGGCATCAAGGTTATCGGAAGTGAGATCTGAAAAGAGTCTCTTTCTTGTTCATTTTTAGAGTTGTTTAATTTTTGCCATTTTAGAACCTTGGTTGATGATCTTTGAACAGAAGAGTGATTTGTAGTTTTCTTTTCTTTTCTAGCATCCACGAAAATGTTTCTTGGATTTTCTATGAAAATACAGGTACGAGTAAATTTAAAAGTTACTCTCTCTCTATTGTTTTTTGAGCCTTTTTTTTATTTAATTAAATTTAAAATAATAGGTGCCAATTGCAAAGAAAAAAAATAAACTATTCTAGTCAACCAACCGGAAGTCTGGAAAGATGTTCGAAAAAATGACCAAGTAAACCCAAGTCGTGTTTTTCAAAACTAAAAAAAAAAAAAAAAATCCAAATCTCCAAACAAAAGTTAAAATGAGTTTTAAAATATTATATTAAAATTAATTTTTAAAAACTTTTATCAAATAAATTGAAAAAAGCTCTGAATCGTATACTGCTCCAAGCACAGCCTAAAAATTGATTTATACAACATAAAACAATGATTGCACCCCTTTCCTACCCTTCCATGCAGGGGTATGCATAATATTGTCAAAATCGTCGAAATCGTCGAAATCGCACTGAATTGCATTGTTAAAGTAAATTCGTTATTATTTGTCAATTGAATTGTCAATTTTTGATAAGAAAAATGACAAATTTTAATGACACTTTTATCAATCCGCCAGTTTCTATTTTTCTTTCAAACCGCACCGACCCGCACCGCTATTAAATCATATTTATAAGATTCTAAAAATTCTTTTTACTTAAGTTTGCTTGTTGTTCTATACCTTAGAATATAGTGTTACAGTACTGCTCGAGGGAATTCAAGATGTCAATAATCCAAAATAAAGTTGAATTCTAATTCACTTTTTAAGATGCTTAATATCACGGTATCTCTCGTTTTTTTACTCTTTAATTTAAGTTTTATAATTTGAATTATATTTTTTATAAATCGCCAATCCGTCCAAATTACCAAGACAAATATGCCATTATTTACCAACCAAACTACCGATTTTTAATAAAAAAAAATGACAAATTTTAATAACACTTTTATCAATCCACCACCTCCCTTGCGATTTCTATTTTCTCCTTGACCCGCACCGCGCACACCCGTACTTCCAAGTGGTATAAACCTCAAACCTCTGCATAAACCTCAATGTTCATTCATATGGCAGCCTCCCAGTTGAGTGACGAACCTTGATTTGCACCACAAGTATCTTAGATAGAGAATTGAAGTGTGAGTGTGTATCTGAGAGAGAGAGAGATGGAGACACAATCAGACGGTAACAGAGACATGGCGAACATGAAGGACCTCCGTCAACACCTCGAATCCCGTCTGGACACTCTGCACAATGCTCAGCTGGACCTCATCTCTTCCCTTCAAACCCAAATCCCCGACATCGTCTCCTCTCTCGATCTCTCCCTCAAGGTCGTCTCTGCCTTCAATGGCCGCCCTTTCACTCCTCTTCCTACCCTCCTCCCTAACCCTAACCCTAACCCTAATTCTAACCCTAAACGATCAGCACCTCCACCCCCCGAAAACCTCCCTGACACTCCTGAAAACCGCTCAGTCCGTGATCCGAAACCCTCCGATTCCAAGAATCAGCAGCCGAAACGATCTCCCGAAGCTTCTATTCGTCGATCGGATAGTGAAAAGTTTATGATTGATGAGAGTGGAAGCCCTTTATCGGTAGTTCGGTCGATGGTTGCGGTTTGTTTGTTGGAAAGGGTGCCTTTTACGCCGATTGATTCGTCGACGGTGCTGCGGAAACTGGAGAATGATCAGAATGCAACAGCAGGGGAGAAGGCGGCATTGCGTGAGCTGGGAGGGGAGTCGGGGGCGATACTGGCGGTGGAGATGGCACTGAGGTCCATGGCGGAGGATAATGGCGGAGTTGAGTTGGAGGAGTTTGTGGTAAGTGGGAAATCCAGGGTTATGGTGATGGGAATTGACCGGACTCGGCTCGTGAAAGAGTTGCCGGAGAGTAAGCAGTATCAACAAAACGATTCGAATTCTTCCAACGAAGGCAATCAAATGCAACAAGGGGTGGGAAGTGGGAGTGAGGTTAGTGGTGGAGTGCTTGGAATGGGAGGGCCAATTCCTAGGCCAATGCAGGATATGTGGATGGGGCCTCCAGACCCACATTTATCAGGATTGCCTCCATTGTTTCCGGGGACGGGAGCACCAGGTGCGATGATGGGGCCTAGGGGTGGGCCTAGAGGTATGGGGGGGATGATGATGATGCCGAGAGGAATGGGTGTTCCTCCAATTCACAGACCTCCGTTGGGGCCGAATGCTCCAATGGGTGGCTCACACGCGATATCTTTGAAGCCTAGGACCGAAGAGGATGATTTGAAGGATCTCGAGGCTTTGTTAAATAAGAAGTCTTTTAGGGAGTTGCAGAAGTCAAAAACTGGAGAGGAGCTTCTGGACCTCATTCGCCGCCCAACTGCGAGGGAAACTGCTGTGGCTGCAAAGGTTTTTTAACTCTTTAAGCTTTAATATTTTGCATATTTTATATTTATCAAAAAAAAAATATTATGCATATTTTGGTTTGAACTGCCATTTTGTTCGATTCATTACACTCAGATTAGCTGCTCAATTAAAATAATGCATGCTTTTGTTTGTATTGGTATCGTAATTAATTTACAAGAAAGCCTCTATGTTGTTAAACAAATGACAGAACGGAAAGGAACGGAAATGCATGTCCCGTTTTTTCATGTCCCTGTTTTTTCTTGTTCATTTATCCGGAGAAAATAGTTAAGGAAGGAAATGCCCAACTGTCTTGTTCTTGTTGTCATGAAAAATGGGGCAGAATATTGAATTTTAGAAGGAAAAGTAATTTCCTTCTCGTTCTGTCTCATTTTAGGCAGAATTTCACACCAAAAAAAATCTCCTATTTTCCCCCCTTTCATCCCCTGCACCAGACATATGTTGGGGCCTTAGCAAATTAAGGAAAACTGTCTAATTCTTTAAATTTTCATCTATGTCATATGTGGCATCTCCAGGAATTTTTAGGGCTGTAAATTCATCACAAAAGCTCATATTTTATCCTTTTTAATCATATTGATTCATCTCATGGTTGAATCTTGTTTCAGTTCAAAACCAAAGGTGGTTCTCAACTAAAGGAGTACTGTTCAGCCTTGACAAAAGAAGATTGCAGACGTCAATCTGGTTCCTATATTGCATGTGAGAAGGTCAGTAAGGAGTATAGTATGCTGGTTGTATTTATTAACGCAAAGTAGTAGGCATCAAAGCACCAGTTTTACCTTATTTCAAAGTTTGATTAGCATTGTATATCAGTAATAGTTTTCCTAGTCATGAAATGTTTTTGCATAGGTACTTATCCAAAAAGAAAAGAAAAAGAATGCTATTTGGATATTCACTTTGGCTAGGCCTTGCGTGATATATGTTGTCAAACAGCAAAATAATGTCCTGAGACCCTTCCAGTTTCATTGTCCAGAAGAGATTGATTGCTCCTCCTTGTTTTTTTTTTCCTCCACAACATTTCAAGCTTCGAAGTGCTGAAGAAACTAGTTGACCTCTCTTTTATTTGCTTTAACTTCAAATCTTGAACTCCAAAGGAATGGCAACTGAAAATTGTGATATATGCTAGTAACTAATGCGGAATGTCTACTAGATTCTTCAAAGGAGATGTCTATCTAGATATTTGGCATCGGGTTATTGACCATTCATTTTAGACTTTCTGTAACTATAGACGGTCACAGTAGTTCCTTGATTTCAATTTCTATTGTAAAGCATCTTTGTTTTATTTAATATTTTACTCCTTTCAGGTTCATTTTCGACGGATAATTGCTCCTCATACTGATGTCAATTTGGGGGACTGCTCCTTTTTGGATACTTGCCGTCACATGAAGGTAAACTTTCTAATATGATGTGATTAGTTTTCATGGAAAGTGGTATTTATTAACCCCCCGTAAGAAATTAATATGGAGATTATTATTCATTTTCTTTATCACAGACTTGCAAATATGTTCATTATGAGCTTGATAATACACAAGATGTGACGCCTATGATGATGGGGACTGGTCCTCCCCCTAAACCTTTGAAGCCTCAACGTGCTGAATATTGTTCAGAAGTGGAGCTTGGTGAACCACAGTGGATTAACTGTGATATCCGGAATTTTAGAATGGACATTTTAGGGCAATTTGGAGTTATAATGGCAGATCCACCATGGGACATTCATATGGAGTTACCTTATGGTACAATGGCTGATGATGAGATGCGTAGTCTTAATGTTCCTGCACTTCAGACTGATGGCCTTATTTTTCTTTGGGTAACTGGACGTGCAATGGAGCTCGGACGAGAGTGGTATGTGCTTTATCTTTAGTTTGGTAGCAATAGTTGATCTAACGTCCTCTCTTGGATGGTTTAACATTTCTTCTTGGTTAGAGAGAGATCCTAGGACGTGCAGCAAGCTAATGCAACAAATTATGCATGATGCTGGAGTTATTGTAATATTTGGTTATTTATGCTTATGAGATGCTTACCACAAAATGAATGAAGACCAATAATATTTGAAATTCCCTTCGTTGTGGTTGATTCGCAATTATGGATCCGCTAACTAGGCGGTTTGTCAAACAATTGATGTCCAATTCAACAGCACACAATCAACTACCTTTTTACCAATTTATAACTGGATCTTAATTAAATAGCATGTAAACTACTAGATACTACTAAAATGAATTTGGTTACAATGCAAGTAAGTGTTTGTCATATGGGATTGCCAAACTACACTAGCGGGACTCTCTCTAGGTCCTAACAAAATATATTTTTAATTTGTTTATGCTTAATGTGAAAATGAAATCCTTTTGCCTACTATACAGTCGTGAACTGGCAGAGGTGTTGTTTCCATAAATACCATGTTTGGCAGGGGTCATTCTCTTTTGCATGCTAATTGCAACATACGAATGATTCCTTTCGGGTGAATCCTTTCTATACTAATGTCGAAGTCATCTTTGGGAAGATAACTCACTTCTCTTGAATCCAATGGCCAGTGGCTACATATGGTTTTCTTAAATACCTTACTGTTATAGATGTTTATTGTTGTGAACCCTTCAGCTTGTAGCATCAATTTTTTCCAGTTTCTTTTTAATTATAATAATCTTTGTAATTTCAGTCTGCCTTATTATCAATGAGCGTGCAATGTCAGTGGCTTTTTTTGAAGTCTTTGCTGGAGTGATGAAATAATTCCGTAATTCAAAACTAATAATGTTTTAGCTTGGAAAATCAGTTCAAGCAGTTAATTGAAGGCAGTTATTGCAAATGCTAAGACACTTCCCTCGTATATTTATCATTGTTATTCGAGAGAAATTTGTTGGCTGCATTAATTCGTGGATCATCATTTCAAACCCTGGTGCTTGTGGAGTTCATAGGTCTTTTGCTTTCTAGTACATATTTCAATGTTGGATAACTCATATGTATTGTGTTAATACTCCTTGCAGTTTAGAACTTTGGGGATACAAACGTGTTGAGGAGGTTATTTGGGTGAAGACCAATCAACTTCAGCGAATAATCAGAACTGGGAGAACAGGCCATTGGCTTAATCACAGTAAGGAGCATTGCCTTGTTGGAATAAAGGGAAATCCAGAAGTAAACAGGAATATTGATACAGATGTCATTGTCGCGGAGGTTCGAGAAACAAGTCGTAAGCCAGATGAGGTTAGCAGACTCCATATTTTTCTTTTACAGCTTAACCATTGTCCTGAACCTTCTTTGGTTTGTCTGTTTCTTCTTTATCTTCATCTCACTGTAATGTAAATTATTTCATGCTGATTGATGGCAACACATATTCTTGTTTTATAGCCAATGGTTGTACTGTGATGATTTCTAATGAAGATGGCTAATTATAATTGGCTGCTTAATTATTGTTGCCATGCTTCACTGAATTATTATAATTCTTGGTTTTCATGAACTAAGTCGAGTTGATATGCATACCACTTTGCAGATGTACCCCATGCTGGAGAGGATAAGTCCAAGAACAAGAAAGCTGGAATTGTTTGCTCGCATGCATAACACTCATGCAGGGTATGCTTTTTTATCTGCCATCATAATTTTAGTTTGGTATCATTCAAAGGAATACATTGTGAGGACTTGGGATTGTGAACCTTCTTGATCTTTCAACCCATAGAGAAAACCCCTCTTCTGGAATAGTCAAAAAATTATGGAAAAATTCTAATAATTAAAGGATGAGGCACTAGTAATTATAGAAATTATTAAATTATTTTTTTCATTTTTTTTTATTTTATTTTGATTTTTTTGGCCAAATAAAGGCTTAAAAAATTCGAAAAACTCAAGAAAAATTGCAAAAAATAGGGAATGACATTTAAAATTGATTGTAGTGCATTTTTAATTGTGTGACATGGTTTGGGTAAGATTATAAAAGAATCTTGGGTGGCATGGACCGCGGCTCGACCGCGGCCTGACCGCGGCCTTGGGCGACTTGGACCGCGGCCTTGGGCAGCATGGCATGGCATGCGCGTGGGCGTGGGCGGCTTGGCATGCGCGCGACGTGGGCGGCACGGCATAGCATGCGCACAGCGTGAGCGGCCTCGCATGCCACAGCCTTGGCCAGCAGCATGCCATGCTCCGGCCCTGGCCAGCATGTCATGCCACGGCCTTGGCCAGCAGCATGTCATGCCACGGCTAATTTGACAGCATAATCTGCTTCAAATTTAGTTTTAGCTTTTTCGGAATGATTTGTTGCTGACATTGGGCTGGTTTGGGAACTTGGCTGTTTTAGTTAGCTTTTTGGCTATTTTTGCTTGGCTAAAAAAATTGTGTTTGGGATGATAGTTGATTTTTTATTTTTTTTTGGTAGTTAATTTGATAGTTGTGAGAGAAAAAAGTAAACTAATTATGGTTTGGATGTGACATTTTGTCTTATTAGTTATTTTAGCTTATTTTGTCTTTATTAGCCAAAAAAACCACCAACCCAACTTCCCATATATGATGGTTGGGACTATCTACAGGGAACCCATTGCCTAGGTACCAAGCTAGGGTCTCATTCTGACTTCTTTGCAGCGTTGATCTTGATTGCTATAACTGACATCCTTCTATGCAGAGATTTGGATCATTTAGAATAAGGATTTGTTTACGACCGTGAAATAATTTGATTGTGGCATTTCAATTTATGCATTGCAACATTGTCTCCAAGTTATCTCGATTGTTCCATCATATCAGACAAATGTGTCCCATGCAAGGAGAAAAAGAAGAAAAAGAAAAGGGCAACTGGACCCTATATGAATCGATACAAGGCAGTAACTCCCGAATAATTGCATGTATTGCTCATTCAGTAATGGACCATGGTCCTCGACTTGTCACAAGTTATTATGGATGGAAATACTCTTCTTCAACCCCTTAAAAAAATCTGACTTTTATATTCTAAAATTACACGCCACGTGTTATTTATGCATTTATGTACTATTTGGTAAGGAAGCACCCCTGCAACCTTTTGTGTGAGTATATATTCTGGCTGCTGTTGTGGCTTTCTCATTCCGATCTTTTGATTATTCAGGTGGATGTCGCTTGGTAATCAATTAAGTGGAGTTCGATTAGTGGATGAAGGGCTGCGGGCTAGGTTTAAGGCTGCTTACCCTGATGTAGAGGTGCAACCATCATCACCACCAAGACCACCTGCCATGGAAGTAGATTCTAACACTGCTCAAATGAGGAGTCCATTTGTGGGAGGTGAATTAAAGTCCACGGAAACACAGTTTGCAGAGGGCACAGCTCCTGGGTCTGCCTATGTTTCTGAACAGAAGTCGATGAACCTTGATATTGAGATGACCAGCTAATTCACCAAATTCCGCCATGTGCCCAGGTTATTGTCCTGGTCATAGTGGAGTTCACTGATCTGATGATGCCCACAGTTTATGATGGGGAACTGTTCTGGCGTCTTTGTCCCATTCCTTACCTTTATTTGTTTTTTTTACCACAAATCAAAAATTGATCATTCTCTAGCCCCCTTTGAGTTCAGGCTTTGTTTAATACGATAGGCAACAGAACATGTAAACTATTAACATTGATCAGTACCATTGTAACAATTACCAATTGTGGCACCCCCTTTTCTTTTCTGCTGTTCTTTTAAAAGTTTTTCCTTTTTTTTTTGTTTTGTTTCTTTTGGGTTGTTGAAATGATCATAAGGCTCGGCTTGAATGGCTGAGATCTTGAGGGAAGGGTAATGTAATGTGATTCTGGGTTCAAAACAGGTTGAAATGGCAAAGTGATTTTTGATTATTTATTCAAACTGAGTTCACTCAGTTTGGAATTGTTTTTAATTTTTTTTTCAAATTAAAAAAACAAAAGGAAAACTTAAAACTTGTTTGATGGAAAAAAAATAAAATATATTCATCATTGTCATATGGGTATTTTTTGGGGGTATTTATTTTGGTTAAATTAGTTATTATAATAGATGTTAAGAACCAAATCATACAAAGTGGGTGTTTAGGAAGTGGTCTTTTTTTAGGCTTTTTGATTATTTGGCTATTTTAGTTGGCTATTGTTTTTGTGTTTGGAAAGATGGGAAGAATTTTTTTTGTTATTATTGTATTAAAAAATGTGTTTGAAATGATGTATAATATAAAATGACCAAAGTGTCCCTATAAAAAAAAAAAATAATAATAATAATAATAATAATAATGATAATAAAATAAAGGATGTAGTCAATGCTGTGGCAGTTGCCACTGCCCAGTTTGTTTCTATGAAATGAAAAAAAGTAAATGCTAGGTTCAAGAAAAAGTAGGTTGGTCCGAGGTGGATGTGTAATCTAAGGGTAAAATAGTATTTTTATCTGTTAGTGCATCCAGCTGGACAGCCTCGCTAGCTATTTTGCTTTTTTTTAGAAAGGAGTAATGGTAGAGATCCAAATATTCTACTAAAAATTTTATCAAATGTGGGATTTACATAATGTGGATCCCATGTGGGTCCCACATGTGAGACATTTAGTAAAATTTTTAGTAGAATTTTTGAGACTTCTAACATTTTTGTTTGACAAACGGGCTAAAATAGTCTATTTCACGTCTTCCTAAACACCGCCAAAATGTAATAACATTCTCAAATTAAATAAGAATTACATTGATGAAGCTAATCTCATATTTTTGGAGGATTGTGAACTATCTAATGGTTAAAAAAACCTTCCTCGCAATAATCTTACCTTTCTAGAACAATGTTGACATTCTATGGTTTAACAAAAACTACAAAGTAGATGGCCCGACAAGATATCAAAGATATGATGGTATTTGAACTTTGTGGAAAGTTGGAAATGGAACACATTGACATTAGTGTTGAAAGAGAACAAATCTTATTGTTTTAAATTGCTAAAAAATAATTGCATAATCAAATCATCAAAACTCTTGTACAAACAAATTCATGGAAATTTCAAAATCAACTTCTCGAGGGAAGATGAAACGTATTGGAATAAATTAAACAAATAATAATAACAAAAAAAATCAATGACAGCTAATAATGAATCATATAGTTTCAGTTGTCGGCTGCCAATTCATTTTCATGAGATCTGAAATAGAAGTGCAGATATCCAGAATCCGATGGCAGCGGACAACAAAAACACAGGAATTTTCAATGACGATGATGACGACGACGACGACGACGATGATGGAAGCGAAGAGGAAGGTGCCATCGGGATTGAGCCGAAGACGGTAGGGTAAGAAGGTGAAGCTGCAGGAGCATAAGAGGGTGAAAATGCTGATGAAGATCCATTTCCAAAGACAGAAATGTGGAGTTTCTGGGCATTATCGCAGTGGCCCAGTACGCCGCTGGTGAAGTAAAATTCACCTGGTTGGGTGATGTTAAACAGAGAATTGCCATTGCTCATGTACAAGATTGGATCTGTGATGTTGCAGCTGTTGTATGATTGCTCTGTTACTTGAATCACCGAATCTTGACTAGGTGGGTATAGGAAAACTGTCATTGGAGAAATGTAAAAAAGTTCATGAGAAAGAGATCAAAATTGATTGGAAAGAAAAAGAAAAAGCAAGAAAAAAGAAGAGGAGAAGATGATGATGAGAGAGAGAGAGAGAGAGAGTGAGGAGAGGGACTTACAGAGAGAGTCTCCGAGGTTGAAGGCGTGATAGGTGGCCCAATTGGTGTAGACATTTGGATTTGCTGAAGTGGGTATGCCCCAAGCATCTAAATCTCCGACCTTGTATTGGTAGCAAAAAACTCTGGTTTGAATCAACAGGAAAAATTGAAGAGCGTACCACAAGAAGTAATATTTTGGGCTTCCAAATCTACCCATTTTCTCTCTCGCTCACTCCCTCTACTTTTTAGCTCAGATCGAGGACAGATTCAGGAATGAGGAGGGGGAAATATTATTGGACTGAGTGTCTGTTGGACAGATAGGAGAGAGAGAACGAATATGGGTGTAACATAGAAGCACACTTGTATATATATATATATATATGAGTAATTTTCAATGCGTTTTAAAAAAGTTGGGTCCAAACAAAGAAGTAAAATAGTAGGGTTTAATTAGCAACTCTAAACTATGCTTGTGATTGTCAAAATCGCAAATGGGTAACAGTACTAATATGAATAAGAAAATGGATAAAAACAGATGTGTATACAAACAATGAAAGCTAAGGAATGGAGGCCCAATGAATAATAGAGCACATGGGACAGTTGTACGCAGGCAACTAAAAGGAAGCAACTCCAACGTGTCACCAACTTCTTAGATCGAAATGAAACCTTAGAAGAAGAAGTTTAGACAAGACAGATGCACTCTATTTGTCATATATTATTTGGTGCACATTGTGTCACAACTCATTATCATCATATCATATCATATATATATATATATATATATATCAATAATAGGGAGAGAAGGAATGGGAAAATAGTGAATTCTCTCACCACTCCCCCATGGGGACTCCTTTGTATTAACGACATGGAAATTGTGCATCTCATTAAGGAAGGTTACAAGTTCACCTCTCTCCCAACTCTAATAATGTACCTCTCTTTACATCATATTTTATTTTTCTATCGATTGTTGTTTATTAATTATGGCCAACTTTTATTATGGTCTGTTGATTAAAATCATACCTATTTTTAAGAAATAATCTTGATCACATTTGTTTTTATTATTATTTCTGTCGACAAACATGCTAACGCGACATGACAAATATATTAAAAACGTCGCATAATGACATGTTAAATGGAGGACCAGAAAGTTAGCAATTGCAATAATTTGAAAATTAGTTACTGAGATTCAGTGGCGGAGCCAGAAATTCAATGTAGAGGGGGCACACATTAATCACAACATTAGCTTTTTTTTTCTTCTCCCATAATAAGTAACAATGAGATATTATTAAACTTATACATTTTTATTTTTATTTTTATTACAATTATCCTTATATTTACATTAAGATGACTTATAAATCCACAATCAATAACTAAATTTCATTAACCAAATAATCAATAAGTTCAATCCTACCAACTCAAAAAAAAGTACTCTACAATGAGGAGAAATAAGCAAGTAAACAAATCCTATAATAAGAAATGAATTATCAATTGATTCAATTCTTACCTTGACCTATCAATTAAAAATGTACAAGAATAATCAAAATAATAAAATAAAGAATTTTTAAAATTTTAAAAAAGCAAAAAGTTTTACATAATTTAAGGAGGGTCACTATTAAAATTTTATAAAGGATACATAATACATAATCTTTATCTATATGGGTAACAATATAAATATTAAAAATTTAGGAGGGGCACGTGACCCTTTTAGGCGTTAAGTGGCTCCGCCCCTGCTTAGATCAATGAGCCAAGATCAAATCAAATATCAAATATGTAAAGTGATTCTTATCAAACATGGGATATAAAAAATGTTGAGCAAATCATGGGCTTGTTGAGAACATCATGGGTTTAGATTATCTCTTTCTCATATGGCTAAGCCTATAAATAAGCCAAAAGAGATACAGAGAGAAATGAATAATCTCAATCATCAATCACACTCGCAAAGAGTTTATGTAAGAGTAGTTTAACTTAGCATTTTAAGAGTAGATTAAACTAGTAGTTTTTTTCAACCCCCACTTCTTTTTTCTTCTTTTTTTTCTGTTGATTGTTGTATTTCTTTAATTTTTTGTTCTTGTAACTAGTGACAAATGACAATTTATTCGAATTAATACATATTCTTTCATGTTCCATTTCATCTTCATTTAATTACCTCCAAAAAAATCCTTAATCTGTTTAAGGCAAATAACTTAACTACAAAACCTGATTTTATTTATGTTTACTTGAAATTTATTTGAATCTATTGATCAAATCATTATTGATTGGGTTTAAACTAGATTTTTACCAACCCCACGTGGGCCAAAAATTAAAACTCTTCACCTTAAGTTTGGGGGTTTTAAGGGTAGAAAAAATCCTCACCATAACAATATGTTGTTACTAATATTAATCTCCCTTGTACTTCTATGAATTTAATACTAATATTTTTATCATTGGATAGAAATGAATGCCCAATACACATAAAATGATAACTTTTATTTTTATTTTAACATGTACTTGAGTTATGGCCCTTAGAGTATTTAGGCCTCGTTTGGGAACTTTCTTTTTTAGTCAAAAAGTTATTAAATTAGTCAAAAAATCAACGATTCATATTAAAAAGTTAAAAATTCTCTTTTCTCTCTACTTTTTGCATATTTTTTTCGTAAAAAATCAAAAAGTCATCCCAAACATACTAGTTTTTTTAACTCATATTTTAATTAAATAGTCAAAAAATTACTAAATTAGCATGTTCTCAAACGAGGCCTAGTATCCTTGTAGCAGCAGAGAAAGCCACACACTGTTTTGGCATCTGCTTGATTTATGATTCTAAGAGTAATTAATTAGGCCATGTTTGATTGTCAAATTAAATTAAACAAGTTTGTGAGAATTAAATTGTGTGAAATTATAAGTTGAATAGAATTGAGTGATGAAAATATTGAGAAATTAGTAATAACTATACATTTGGAGCTTTTAACTTAATAACTATCTATTTAAACTCAAGGATCATAACCAGTATGAATTAGTAATTGGTGTCAAGTATTACTCTAATAACATCAAATAATATTTTCCTATGGAAACTGGATTCATTGCCAATCCCAAAAAAAGCGAACATCACTTTATTTCCAAACTGCCCTTTTCCCTTTTTCAACTCAAGCAAAGCAGGCAGGTATATGTAGTGGGCATGGGATCTGGTGATAGAATTTGCCAGTGATAAATTATTTTTAGGTCAAGTTTGACAAGTTAAAAAAAAGTTAAAAAATTAAAAAATTACTTAAAAAGTTAAAAAATTATCACTATTTATCAAAAGTCAAAAAGTACGGCTGCACAACTCTCAATTCTAATTTTTTTCTACACACTAATTTATATAATTTTTTAATACACATTTTTTCATAAAAAGTCAAAAAGTTAATCCAAACATCTATATTTTTCCGCTCAACTTTTTAATCTAAAAAGACAAAAAGTACACTTATTTAGGACACTCCAAACAACCCCTAATAGTCTTCAAGTTTCCATTTTTATAATGAGTTATTAGTGGTAATTTGTGTTATGCATGGTATATGTAAAAAACTAATAATATATTTTTATACAAAATAATATAGAATAGTTAAATTTTTGTATGTAAATTATGAAAACAAATAAGATTAAAATTTACAATTTAAGTCCTACAATTTTATCACAATTTATTTATTATTTTTTAATTTGTCACAAATTTAATCATGTAATTTTGAACTGCCCTTGCTAGATTGCAAATTTAGGTGAACTCAACCCAAACAACTTGAGTCGAGCTTAAAATTTTTTAAAAATTGAATAATATAATTTTTAATTAAGTGAATACCTATGCAAAAATTCAAAAATTCAAATTAAATTTGAATGAATTGGGTAGAAACACCAAATAACCTGAAAAACCAAAACAAAATTATATATATAAATATATAAATTATTTGCTAATTTGTTTTTTAAATAATAAATAAAATTAAAAATTTAATATGAATGAACAAAAGAAAAAGAAATATATTTAGGATTTCCAATACAATTTTTTTTTGAAAATATTTAAAAAAATAAACCTTTTAAAAATGGATCATCAAATAAAGGGTTGTTTGAGAAATATCATATTAGCTCACTTTTTTATCTTTTTTTCTTTTTTGCGTCACATCACATTTTTAAACGCTCTTGGATTACAAATACAATAAAACACCACACACTAATAAAAGGATAAAAAAATTTTATGAAGCATTTCATGATATTTTTTTTCATAATTCCTAATATTATTCTTAAAATACTTTTTGACTTTTAACTTTTTTTTTAGGTCACATCACATTTTTATTTTTTTTGTATATATTTTCATAAAAAGTAAAAAAATATACTTAATTTTTTTTTTAAAGTTACATCACATCTTTACTTTTTATTTTTTTATACATATTTTAGTAAAAAGTAAAAAAATATACTTATTTAGCACTTTTCAAACTACCACTAAGTTGATGTTAAAAAAATTTACTTTTTATAATGGCATAAATAATTTAAATATGATTTTTTAGAAATTATTTTTAATTTAAAATTACAATAAAATATTAAATAGAATAAAAATAAATTTCTTACAAAATAAAAGTGTTTGAATTAAAAAAAGGTAAGAAGAAAATTTAATATGGCATTTTCATTTAATCTAAAAATAATTTTAGATGAATAATAAATTATCACTTATAACCCTCTTTTTTTTTTTAAATAAAAAAAGTTTAGCGAACTATCACTTTTAATAAAAAGAAAAATTAACGTTTCTTTTTAATTTATTTTAGCAAAAGGTTTGAGCTAAATATATCTTTATCTTTTATTTTAATTTCTTTAATTAACAATTGAGATTTTAAAATTTTAAAAAAAAAATCTAACAAAATTCACCATATTTGGTAAGTACTAAAAAAGTCATGTTTTGTTCTTTTGTCAAAAAAAAATTATATTAAAAAATATTATTATTCAAGTCCTTATAGTTTAGAAAGATATAATTTTTTTTATAAAATTTAAAACAAAAAAAGAAAAAACAATTTAATAGCGATTAATAATTTGAACACATGTATATTATGACACATGTGAATATTAATCTCATTTAATTGTAGCATTATAATTTTAAAAAAAATTAAATTTGAAATTTTATTTTATAATTTAATAAAATATGCAAAATTTAAGGAATGAATATTGGTCTCATTCCAATTATAGCAATAAAATTTATGTAAGAATCCAAATTTGAAATTTTATTTTAGGGTAAACTACAAATACATCCCCTGAGTTTTGCTTAACATACAGATTGCCCCCTATGATTTAAAAAATTACAACACCCTCTTGTTAAAAAAATTTATTTAACAAAATTAACTAAAAGTATAAAATTCCTAATTGTTCTCCTATACAATAATAAAATTACATAAATTGTTAATTGAAACATATTTCTAACCTCATTAAAAGCTATTAATTGATTTGACGATTTATTAATAAAATTGGCGATTTGTTATGAAATTAGAAATCTCAGGGGTGAAATGTAATTTTCAAAACTACAGAGAACGATTTGTATTTTAATCAAACCTTGAGGGATGTATTTGTAGTTTACCCTTTATTTAAGAATATAAAATTAATTTATAAACCAATCATATTGTAATACATATTAACAACAAATTAAACAAAATAAAAAAAAAAATGAGAAAAAAGAATTACAACTTTCAACCTTAATGAAATAACAATATTTTACAATTGTAATAGTATATATATAGATAAATCATAGAATAGATCATTATTTAAAACTTATATTTTATGGGATAAATCATTATAATTATAATTTTAAATTTAAATTAATGGAATGCTTTCCATATTTAGTGTCCTCAAATTTGAATTTTGAAATGGGTTAGCATACTTTCTATTTTTTATGATTTGATATACTTTCCATTTGAAAGTCATAAATTTAGAAGATATTAAATATATATATATATACATATATTTTGCTTGAATGATTTTCAAATGTGAGATATTAGAGCTCCTACAAGACTTGTGGTTGTAAACCCTTTTTTACTTATATAATAGATAAATAGATTTAATAAAAATTTATATTTGTTTTAGATATTTTTTTTAAATATAATTTTTTTAAAAGATTTTTGATAAAAATAATTTTAACAATCTCATCATTAACCATAGTATATGAGAGAAGTTGAAAGGGTGTACAATAGGTATGAGAGAAGTCAAAAAGACTTGTGGATCGGAAAAAGTCAATATATGGTAAGGTTTTTTTTTAAAAAAAAAAAATCAAAAAATTATTGGAGCCCATAAACAAACCATAGTATATGATAGAAGTTAGAAATGATGTAGCAATAGATATGAAGAGAAGTCAAAAAGACTTGTGGATTAGAAGAAGTCAATAAATGCTAAGATTTTTTTATAAAAAAAAATCAAAAAATTAGAAAATTAATATTGGGATATTAGAACTCCCATATGATTGTGGGTTAGAAACCCTCTTTTCCTTACATAAATACTAGCCCATCACCCGTGCTATGCACGGAATAATTATAGATATTTATATTTATTTTAATATATAAATTATATTTTTAAGATTTTTTATAAAAATAATTTAACAATCTTATCACTAACCATAGTGTACAGGAGAAATTAAAAAGGCTACTGCAGTAACTATGCACAGGCTGTATCTATAATTATTTGTATGAGGGGATTTTAAAAGCTAATCAGAGATTTTGATCAAATCAATAAATGCATGTATGGGGATTGGAAAAAGTTAATAAATACTGATTAGGGTATTTTGACCAAATCAATAAATGCTGAGGTTTTTTTTTTAAATAAAAAATTTAGAAAATTAAAATTGAGAGATTGGAGCTTCCACAAGACTTGAGGTTTAGAAACCCATTTTTCCTTAATATATTTACAATTATCTATATACGTGAATTGTGATTTTTAAATGACTTTTTTTTTAAAATGTCTTTTTTTTCTTTTTTTATATTATATTAAAGTTTAATATTTTGATAATAATTCATATATGTTGAACTTTTCCAAGAATTAAATATCTTTTTTTTATTATATTATATTAAAGTTTAATATTTTGATAATAATCATATGTGTTGAACTTTTTAAGAATTTTTTTTATGCTTGTTTTAATCATTAAATGTTATTATGAAGGTAAGACTTAGGGATTGAGAGAAGTTAATAAATGCTTAGGTTTTTTTTTTTTTTTAAATCAAAAAATCAAAAAATTTAGATTGAGAAATTGGAGCTCCCACAAAGCTTGTGGTTAAAAACGCCCTTTGCTTAATATATAGTATAGATAGATAGCCATCACCCGTGCTATGCACGGGATAATTATAGATATTTATATTTATTTTAGATTTTTTTTAATATATAAATTATGTTTTTTAAGATTTTTTATAAAAATAATTTAACAATCTTATCACTAACCATAGTGTATGAGAGAAGTTGAAAAAGATACTGCAGTAACTATACATGGATTGAATGTATAATTATTTGTATAAGGGAATTTTAAATGTTGATCAAGAAATTTTGACCAAATCAATAAATGCAGTGGATTGAATGTATAATTATTTGTATAAGGGAATTTTAAATGTTGATCAAGAAATTTTGACCAAATCAATAAATGCAGACATGTAGAAAGACATGTGGATTGAAAAAAGTTAACAAATGCTAATCAAGGAATTTTGACCAAATAAATAAATGTTGAGTTTTTTTTTAAATAAAAAATAAAAAATTTAGAAAATGCAGATTGGGATATTGAAGCTCCCACAGGCCTTGGAGTTAAAAATCCCTTTTTGTTTAATATATAGTATAGACATGCTAGGGGTCCCAAATAATTTATCAAATTTTCTATCAAACCTCTTACATGGATGTGAAATCTACACGTGGATTTGTATAGATCCCACATTCATGTGAAAGGTTTGATAAAATTTTGTATAGATCCCACATTCATGTGAAAAATTTGATAAAAAATTTAATAAATTATTTGAGATACATAACATTTACCTTTATAATCCCGACGAACTAAAAAAGGCAACAAAATAGATACATTCGACTCCCCTGGCGCAATACAAATTAGATTAATCTCTCTCTCTCTCTCTCTCAAATATACTTTTCTTATGTAAAGGGTGGGAAAGGAGAAGAAAGGGAAAGACGAAGGGTTAAAGCAAGGAGTCAGGGTTAAAAAAAAAGTGTATAATATTGCTTTACAAACACCCTGCTTAAACAAAGACCAAAATTACATATAAAAACATTAAAAGAACATTAAAATGTTTAAGATTAACATCTCAGAGGATGTACCCAATATTAGTGCAGCACCAGTTTACAGTAACTGACTAACCGAAGAGCATTGCCTTCACCCTTCTTTTCCCCATAAACCAATTCTTTTCTGTGAAGATCAGATCACCCAGCTAAAAAAATCTAACATTTTCAAACATTTAAGAAACAGCCCACAATCCGCCTTACCTTATTTTTATCACACAGCCAATTGCAACCAACAAAATAATACTGCTCTGACAATATTCAACAACAAAAGGTAGCTAGCAGACTTCGACATCCCATTGTTTCCAGAAGGCTCTACATCACATCAGAGATTCAGTGGCTCTGCCTCCATTTCCCTCTCTCTGTGTGCCACTGTTATGAAATGCACAAGATTATTTCGGGGAGGGTTTAGAATGATCTATGAGTACACAAAAAAACTTTAAGACAGACGATATTAGTTTGATTAAGGAAATGCGGAGACTAAATGCAATGATTACTAAACTTACTTGATTTATGGCTCTCCGCAATCACCATGAGGCGCCTCTGCAAGATAGATGCCACAAAAAGGAAAAACGAGCACATCCCAAACATAACAGTGATGGGGAATGCATCAACCTTCAGGGAAGAATAAAGAATTGAAACATACATACATGTAAGTCCCTTCCAGCATTGATTATATATTCCAAAAGGCAAGAGAGAATGAAAAATCACGAAGTGGTAGATAGATCTCCTAAGATTATTTGAAAGTTAATCCACTTGGTTTGGTTCCTGATCAATGGAAATGATCCCCCCCCGCCACAGAAGTTTGGGGGGGAGGGGGGGGAGGGGGAGGAGAGAGAGAGACTACTCACATTGTACAGCACAACACACACGAAAATGTTAAGAGGAATGCGAAAAAAGTTCATTATTGTGCTTCGCGCCTCCTCAGGAATGTATTGGGACCTCATTTTCATGATAGATGGCCAAAATATCCCCACACAGGCCTCAAATGCACAGAAGCCGATAAGTAGGACATACCCTGAGAATGAGATGCTGCCACCTTTTGCAGTAGAAGGTGACCCCAAGACCTGTTCAAAGTAGAAGTGAAATTAAAAAAACAATCAAGAAATAAGACTATCAAATTCATGAGTTTCAGCGGAACAAAATGGGACATCAGGATTTATGCCATACATTTGTTCCAACGGGAATGAAGAGCGAGACAGCAGAGATTAAAAAGACAATCTGCAAGTAGCTTTCGACTTTGAGGGATGAACAGGCCATCAGTCGAGATGCAACGGAGCTTCCCAACATTGAAGCCAACATAAATGTTGCAAAAATGAAACCATGCGGAATCTCTTCATTATTTGGGCTCAAAGCAGGAGTCCAAAGGAACACAAAAGTGTACATTGAACCTTCAAATAAGGACTGTATGGCACCGAGGAGCGCAATTTTCTCATCTGGTCCATATGCCATATAATATTAAGCTTGTTTCCCAAAATATAAGACAGACAGAAAGAAAGTAGAAACCAAAATTTTCATTTTCTTTCCATTTTCCTCTTATATATATATATGTATATATTCTTTCTTTTCTATATATATATATTTTTTCTTTGGGGAAGTGGGGTGTTCTCGACTGGTCAAAGTAAGAAAATTTGGAACTATAGGATATATGTGAATTTGGCAATTCAAATCAGAAGCCAAAAAGAACATCATAGGTGGCAGTACTATTGCCATCTGGACTCCACTGTTAATTTCCATGAAAGAAACCTAATTACAGAGAACTGAACACACAAGGTTTAAGGATTAACCAGAAGCAATGGCTACAGCAGCACCCTTGAACTGGGTAAGCAAGTCCTTGCTTTCTGAAGGATCACCATAATTTTCAGTCCACAATGATAATATAATTGACATGCCAATTGCAAGAAAGCATGCAGCGGCATCAAATGGAGCAACAGGGCCCAAGCTAAACGAATCAACTAGCAGATTCCCAAATAACCCGGATAAAATTGCAACTAGACCATTGCCAAGAAATATTGCCTTAGAAAAAGTTAATGACAGCCATTGTTGATCAAAACCCCTCTGCACAAAACAAGGAAGAATACATAATGAAAAGAAACCACCTAAAAAGAGAACACAAATATAACAGCAAATCCACAGCATATGCGAATTTGACCTCAAGGAGTTTTGTAAGGAATCAACCTGATTGTTTGGGGGAAATTCCTACAAAACACTCCATCCTAGGAGATTAATGAAGGAAACAGTAATTTATTTGACGTTCAACCTTTTAATAAGTTGGTTAGATGGCAACAATTATCAAATCACAATTTTTTAATCTATTTACTAATGGCCTCACCAACTGGGAATATGTGGAGTAAGGAAAAGTTCATCCCAGCGGGCATCTGCAAAATTTTCTCAAGAAACATGTAAATAAAACCTTCAACGTTTGCAGTTTAGATTAACCAATGATCAATATGGTTCGAGTACTGACTTCTCACCTTATTGTGTTCTGCAACAAGCCATGACTCAAATGCAGAAAACAGAAGAGAAGTGGCAATCCCTCCCAATACACGTCCCAACATTAAGACTTGATACTGAGAAGAATGTTTGGTGATGCAGCTCAGGATGTAGGTTATGCAGTATGTAACACATGCCCTCTTTCGACCTCTGAATTATAAAGATGGAGAAAGTGTCATTAGAAAGCAATAAAGTAGTTAATATTAAATGATAAAACCCAAACAAGAAAAAGGAGGTATTACTGTTTATCTGCTAGAGATCCAACAATTGTTCCAAACAACATAGAGGATCCAAAACCAGCAATAAACAGCTGCCCAATTTCCCCCTTCCCAAAACCATACTGGCTGTACAGGTAGTAGACATATGGACCCTGCAACCAATCACCGGCTATTTCCACAAGCATATTAATAACTCTTGATCCATCCTGGAAAGACTTACCAGCTTATAACCGACTATATGGCAGAATTCTTCCACCATAAGGTCAAACGGTGGGAATGGGCAAGAAAACTTAAATTTTAGACATTATTAGCACTTCAAAGCAGACTTTAACAACTGTTAAGATTGTTGATCATGCATACATACATACAAACAAACCTCCTACATTGTGTTGTACAGTTAAAAATATGTGTGGTGTGTGTTTCGCACACGAATCAATATATAAACTCATTTGTGACTATGACACTGACTTATCATGCATCACCGGTTTACCGTTCAACATCTTACTTTTACAGTCCAGTCCAGATTTGGATCATCGGCTTCCCTTCAATTGATTGACTAATAGAACCAAAAACTCAATTTTGGCACAATGTAGATGGGCTAAACTTGTTTCAAAAAGAGGAAATTCTATGTTAGTAATCAACATATCAAGCTCGCATAGCATAATGACCAGAAAAGTGACTGTAAAATGCAATTGAAGACTTCCATTTTGTAAGCATGACAAGAAGAGAAGGGGGGTGGCCAAAACAGAAAATAAAAATCATCAAAATAATATTAGTTTTTTTATTATTTGGACAACAAACAAGATAACTTCGTTAAAACAAGTATGACACAATTGATTTCAGTATTTCGTGTAGAATCTCAATTGGGTCTCCCAGTAAACGTCATTTGATTTCCTATAGTTTCCCAGTAACCAAACGGATATAAAGAGTCGGAATTTGAGCCCTAGATCCAAATAGATATCGACGCCGTTGTCATTATCCAAGAATCTTCGTACAATTAGAGACAAACCCCGATCCAAATTCGCAAAAAAATGTAAGCCGAATAAATTAGAGTAATTGAATTGGAAATGGAGAGCATACCCATCATGAGGGAGTAAACAACGAGGTAGTTATTCTTAAAGGAATTGAAAGAAGTGGATGTATTGATGCGATCTTTACTGGTTTTGCTGAGCTCCAATGCCACCACCACAGCCCCAAATCCCCCGAACACCAAGTAGTAGAACAACTCCATTTTCTCTCTCAGATTGTTGGATCGATCCGCACAGCACAGTGTACTTATTACTCAAACAGAGCAACACAGAGTCGAGTAGAGTAGAGTGTGTTTAAAGAAATAAACAAAGGAAGAAGACCCAAAAAGCTATTAGAAAAAGTGACTTCTTACCATCCCATACCATACGGATAAAAAGGACCTAAACCTTTCGTCATATGTATCTCCCACTGCTCTCTACCTGGAATTTGGAAGAAAACTCAAATTATAAAAAAAAAATTAAGGGGAAATATGAATTTGGAAGAAAACTCAAATTATAAAAAAAAAATTAAGGGGAAATATGACATAGTGATGTTTTAAAAAAATAATAATTAGCCATCAGTTGTAAAATTTATAAATATTAATAATTAAAGAGGGACCTAATTATCCACTAGGTCTTATGATAATTAATGATATTTTTAATCAGTTATTATTAAAAAACGTTACTGTTTGTTAATTTTTAGCGATAATTGAAAAATTGTCACAAAAATGTCATTAATTATAAGTTTTAACTATAGTTTAAAAAAATCATCATAAAAAAGTTACTAATTTTTAATTTTTAGTGACAGTTAAAAAAATTTGTTATAGAAAAAAGTCACTAATTGCAAGTTTTAACGACGATTTATAAAAATTGTGACAAAAAGTCACTAATTATTAATTTTTAGAGTCATGTAAAAAATTTTCACAAAAAACTATTTTTAGCGGCAATGTCTTAATAGTTAAATTTAATTTTCATCGAATCAGATTGAAAATAAGTGCTAATAAAATTGTTACTAAAAATAATTTTTGTGACAATTTTTTACATATTACTAAAAATTGACAATTAGTGATTTTTTTGTCACGATTTTTATAAATTATCGGTAAAAATTACAATTTGTGACATTTTTCTGTGACTAATTTTTTAAACCATCGCTAAAAGTTAAAAATTAATGATTTTTTTGTGACGATTTTTTTAAACTGTCGCTTAAAGTTAAAAATTAATAACTTTTTTTTGTGACAATTTTTTTAAACTGTCGCTAAATACGTAAATTTCCTTGTGTATTTAAATTTAAATTTCAAATCTTTAAAAGAGTAAAATGAAAGTGGAACTCCACCATTGAAGGTGTTTTTGTAAGAGCATCTCCAACGATGCATATTTTTTTCTCACCAAATTTGTGTAAAAACTCCATTTGATATTAAGTGCTCCAATGGAAGATTTTGAGTTTTCATCAAAACACCGGTTGACCGGACAAACGACTGGGTGGATGTCCGGCCAGTGTATTTTTTTCACAAATTTTAACTAGAGATGGTTATCTGGGAGACATCCGATGGTGAAAATTCAACAGTTATGGATAGTGATTTGATGAAAGCTCCCAATATCTTCAATTTGGTGAAAGATTTTTTATATCCTCAATTTGATACTTATTTGATGAAACCATTAGAGTAGAAAAAGAAGTATTTTTTATCAAATTTAAATTTAATGATAGGATTGATAAATGATTGGAGATAGTCTAAGTGTATTGATGGTTGCTTATGTTCCCCATAACCATAGATCAGGTCCAAACAACAAATTCATCATGGTGAATTTGAATACTAGATGGAAAGTGAAGATGAATACTAGATGGAAAGTGAAGAGGTAAGTGAGAAGGGAATAAGAGAGGAAGGGGTTATTGGTGATGGCGACACGAGAGCAATTTTGGTGGTGTGTTGTATGTGCAATAAGCAAAAAGGAGCAAGGGAATAAAAGTGTGTATACTGAGAAAATTATTCATAAGGTAATATACACAAAATAACTAAATTATTGCTCCTTTGTAATTCACTGAACGGAATTGAAGGATTGGTTTTGATTGATATCAATTTTTAAATTTACGTGTTTAAGTTAAAAAAATTAAAATTTCGTAATTTAATTTGTTATGAGATCTAACTAAGTTTTCTTTTGGGCAATTTTTTTTTTTAAATTTTTTTTTAGTAAATACTCTATCAAGGTAAGATGACTGACTTGAGCAAATCCAAACTCAATTTAACTTAAATATATATTGTTTTACAATATAATTTTCTTATTAACTAAAAAATTGCAAAAAAATAAAAAGAATATGAAATAATGGCAAAAACGGTAGGAATAAAAAAATAATTGTGGTATGATAAAAATTTAAAATATAATTATAAAACACAGTTACAATTTTTTTTTTTTTTTTGTCTATTGCTTGTTCGTTCTTCCTTCCCTCACATCCTATTGCCGCAGATCACCCCCTACCCTACCCATCCAAGTAGTTGGCCACCTGTCCCTTACCCTTCTCAACTGTCACCAGCCCCACGTTCACCATTCCTCTCCCGTCTAACCCCACCTTTTCCAACCCTCCTTAGCTCCCTTTCCTACTTACAATTAGGGTTGGGCAACGGTTTATCCGAATCGTTCAAACCGCCCAACCCGTATATCAATGGGCAGTTTCGCAAACATAATGTGGGCGGATGCGATTTGAAATATGATAAATTTGCGAGTTGCGGGCGGGTCGCGGTTAAACCCGCAACCTGTAAAAACCTTCCGCACTTTAATTATTATTATTATTATTATTATTTTTTATATACCAACTTTGTAACTTTAACAGAAGCACCATTATATTCTCTATGACACTAGAATCTTTATTTTTAAGTATTTCTCAATTTTTTTAATACCATAAAATTATCAAGTCCTAAACTTGGTTTCTTATATGATTTTCATTGGTGACTTGTCCATTTTTTCTTAATAAAATTTTCCTTCTGGTGGTCGATGAAACTTCTAGTTTGATTATTGATTACTGAACTGTCAATTCTAATTGAATATAACTTTTAATGCATTGATATACATTTTTTTCATGGCAAAAATGCTAGTATAGGATCTCTTTGTTTTGGGTACTTTTATTTAATACACTGATATTCAATTTTTATTTGTAAACTCATTAGAAAATTGTTGTCAAATGATCACAAATATATAAAATGAATCTGATGCCTAAATTTGATGGAAAAAAAAAACTCAAAAATTAACTTTTAAAGAAAAAAGTGTAAACCGTAAACCGCCCGCACATCCGCAAACCCTATCCGCACAAACCGCAAACCGCACTGCGGGCGGTTGCGGGTTGACTTTTTCTCAAATCGCATAGATGCGGACGGGTCAAAACCGAACCGCAAACCGCACAAAACCGATCCGCGAACACCTCTACTTACAACTATTTTTCTCACCACCACCCCCCAACCCTGCCTTAGAGCGTCTTTTCTCCTACTACCTTCAGCCCTTTACAACTAGAGCTACAAAATGAACGAAGTTACTAGAGTTCAATTCTTATTCAACTTGTTAAAATCTTATTTGAGATTAGCTCGTTATATAAGCAAGTGAAATTTGAATAATTTACTATTCAGTTTAATAATATATACACTATAAAAAACTAAATTATTCAAGGGCGACTTTGTGTTCAACCTTTTCGAGATTAACCTGTTATAAGAACAATTGTCTCATCTACATGTAGAAGTATTTAGGATCTCTAACAATTGTTGGAAAAAGAATTCACTTCTCCATTACGAAATTCAATTGATATGTTTCATGCCAATCGAAGCGTACAAACCAGGGCAAACTACCTCAGCATTCCTCTGCCTGCCCACATGAAGAAAATCACTAGGAAACCAAACAAAAGCCCCACACCCACCTCACCATCACATCTCCACATGGAGAGAAGCTAATACTAAAACTTTTTTAAAAAAAAGGCACAAATTTTTCATGCAAAGTTGAACTCATAATCATATCTTGGCTTGGCTGATGATGAGATAGACAATAATAATATATATTACACGAAAATTTTCTTCAAAAATTGAGATCTGCATATTCCGATCACGATGACGCAATACAAAACGACATTGAGAAGAGAAGAACTACACAATTAAGGTGCGAAGAATTCAAGAGATTTCATTATAGAAAAGATCTGAGAGGGAGTTCTAATAACTATGAAAATTTTAGTGTACACAAGAAGAAGAAGAAGAAGAAGAAGAAGAAGAAGAAAATATATTTAAAAAAAAAAAAAAACAATCCCGAATGGTATGCGATGCAATAGGCAGCTATTGTAATTTGTAAATGTAATGATAGGTAATTAAATTAAGAAGGCTGGTGGTGGTGCCTGGTTGTTGCTGCCGCCGCTGCTAGGGGAACCACCTCGGCGAGAGGGGTGGAGAGGGGTGTGGGGACTGGAGATGTCCTACAGACGGGGCAGGTGGGGTGCAAGCGCAACCATGGGTCAACACACCTCAGGTGGAAGAGGTGGCCGCAATCAGGGAGCAATCGGAGGGTGTCACTGCCCTTGTAATCCGCCAAGCAGATGGAGCAGCACGACGCTGTGGAAGAACATGAGGAGGAGTAGTCCTTCTTGTGGAGCTTTGCCTGCGAATAAAGCAGCTTTGGATAGCTCAACAGGGTCGCCTCATCAAGACCCCCAACTTCCACTACGCAACTACTATGGTTCTGCCCCAGTTGCTGCTGTTCAGGTGGCTCCTCCTGGGTATTATTATTACTAGTATTCCTCCTCCTCCTCCTCCGAGCTGACACGGGGGCCTGTGGCGGGTGAACCCTGGTGCAGAAATATGAAGTCAGGGTTATGGTTGTGATGAGCAACAGAATCCCAACAGAAACCCCGATGCCATAGCCGAATCCCCCGATGTTTTGGGAGCCCAGAAACCCGGTGGAGCCTGTTGCTGCTGTGTTATTCATGATCTCCTGAAGGAGTAATAATGGGAAGATCTTCTGATTAAGGTGGTGGTGGTGGTTTGGTCAGCCATGGCTATGGCAATGCTCTGCTAGCTAGTGGTGATTTGGGGGGGTACACACACATACATACTGCATATATTGCATAGAATTGGAAAGTCAACGATGTAGCATGAGAGAGTTTTAATTAAGAGGGAAATGGGGAAGATGTATTTGAAGTTAAGAAAAGAGAAGGTAAGGTAAGGTGAGGTGTAGTTGGGGAAAACATAATAAAAAGCCTTTTTTTCCTCTTCGTATTTGTTATTATTAGTTTAGTTTAATAGATGGGTGTCTGTCTAGAGGTTTTAGATGTCAACGGTTCTGTTCTCTATCCTTTGCTTGCACTCCTGATTCATGTGACTAACGACTCTCTTTATATCTATATTCTTCAACCATATTATATATTATTGTTACTCCCTTCTCTCTCCCTCTCTGTTCAGTGCATCGCACGTTCCATGCACTACAAAATAAGTTTGTGCTCAGTGACAAATTATTAGAATAATAGCAGTTGAGGGGATAATTTTTTGGGAGCTTAATTGCTCTTAACACAGAATGGGGTACTACTATGCCCCCTTCCGAGGCCAATATTGATACTATTTTGATAATCCAAATTATTCATATTGTACGGTTTGTCGAGTAGAGTATCTATAAAAAATAAAATTACGTTAATCAGACATTCATAACCACATGATCAAGGGGAAATCCAATTTATTTTCTAATAGAACATTTTGTCAATAACCAAACAGAGATCAGGTTATGTGTGAAAGCAATAAAAAGTGGGAAAACTTTTTACTATATAATTTGGAGTATAAAAGTAGACATTTTCTTTTATATCTGTATCAATTCTGGAATTGGTTTCAGCAAAAATGATAGCTCCCTTTGAGAGAACTGGGGATTTGCTTTGATCTGGATCTGATCCTCCCCTTCCAATAGCACCTCTCCTTCACCCTCGCTTGATGGCTTAAACATAACTGAAACAGCCTCTGTGATTTCTTCAACCAAATCAACAATCACTCCTTCGACACCCATTAAATGTTGCAAGTAAACTGCTTTGGGCATGTTGCTGAAACATTGAATGAAATTCATAATTAGCAACCACATGACAAATATGCAATTCATTCTGATAAGGAAATTTGAATTGAAAATTAGAACGAACTTTAATTTTCCATATGTTAAGAGTGAGAGCTTAGCCTTCTTGATCTTGGTTAGTGCCCCAGGATTTCTAAAAAAATCCTTTGGCCTCGGACACAATCCCTTGCAAACCACCCTCCAAGCACAGCTTTATGGCCTCCTCTAAGGAGTTCCTTCTCACATCATATTAAATCTCAGTTCCACCATTTGTGAGAAAGAAAACCTAATTTCAATGAGCAACGAACATAATTAGAGCACTATTTTCATCCTCATTTACCATGCTATGAAGGAAAAACTTTCGAATGGTTTTTCTCAATTATGGAGAGTAAACTTACAGCGTAGGTGCTCTGCAGTTTCCTGGCAAGTAGTGCCACAACGGGGTGGAAGGTTGAGAAAATGATTGGTCTATCCTTGGCGTGATCAAACATGACCTGAATTACAAAATTTCAGATACTTAGCAAGTCCACAATCAAAAAAATAGTAAATTAGGTTTACAATGCTTGAGCAAAGACTCATCAGTTACCTTCAAGACAGCTTGAATAACATGAATGAGATCTTCTTGTTGATAGAAAAGGCAATCATCGAATTTCAATTCGATGTTGATGCCCAAAAAAGGGTTAACACTCTCAACATTCCAATTTAAAATCTTGCCATCTTTATTTTTTTCTCAAGAGAGACTTGCCCACCTTACTAGGCTTTCTTTGAGGGCTCTAGCAAAGGAACTTGGACAGACTAATGTCACCCTCTTCTCATATACAGTAGCTTGAAATTCACAATTCTAAATTAGATCAATTGGCATCTTTCCAAAAATTAACCATTAGAATTTCTAAAATAATTGCATATGGGAGAAAAGAGATATAAGAGCCTATGTTGTCTTCAGAAATGATGAAGTTGTGTCACCCTCTTTTCATATACAGTATCCTGAAATTCATAATTCCAAATTAGATCAATTGGCATCTTTTGAAAAATTAACCATGAGAATTTCTAAAATAATTGCATATGAGAGAAAGAGATATAGGAGCTTACATTGTCTTCAGAATTGATTAAGTCGTCGTGGAAGATGATAGGGCAGCCATCTTTGGTCACCTACAAAGACAACCAGCCACAACAAGACAACAAGCCAATAAGCTACTATGAATAAAACAACCAGCCACGACATAAAAACATGAAAGCCTCAGTGAGACATAGAAATTTTAACAAAAATTAACCATAAGAATTTCTAAAATAATTGCATATGAGAGAAAAGAGATATAAGAGCATACATTGTCTTCAGAATTGATTAAGTCGTCGTGGAAGATGATAGGGCAGCCATCTTGGGTCACCTACAAAGACAACCAGCCACAACAAGACAACAAGCCAATAAGCTACTATGAATAAAACAACCAGCTACGACATAAAAACATGAAAGCCTCAGTGAGCCATAGAAACAAATTCACAATCCAATAGAAAATGTTACAACTGCAGTTTTATGCTCTTTTAATCAAAACTACCAACCGCTATAATAATAATCTCAAGCAATAGATCAAGATATTTCTAAAATCAATGCCTTCACCACAAGGGGACTTCCTGGTAGTGATGTGAAGAACCTTGGTGGGCATCCTCACAGGTCCCTTCACCCTCAGCCTCTTATCCTTGGCACTACGAACCATATCTGCATACACTATCCATTAAAAACACAAACACAAAACAGTTTATCAACACTTTATGGAAAATTTTCATAAAGGGCATGGCCGATCAGATGAAGAATTCATGGTCGTTAATCATGGACAATTTTCATGTATAGAGATCTCTTCTAATTGAACCCATCATCACCGTAACGGTTGCAAGAAAAGAGGTCAAATTCAGGCGAGCGATTTGGCGGAAACTTTGTGTGATGGTGTCTGAAATTTTTATGAGTTTTGGTGGTGGTGAGTATTTTTTTTTTTTTGGTGTGCTGGTTTTTATTAAATAGGGAATCTCATTCAAAGAATATCAAATGAAAATTTGTGTCGGGTTTTTGGTGAATGGATTGGTGTTTCACGACTGTTTAAATGTTTTTTTTTTCATTCAATTTTGCTGCTGGTGTTTAATTCAATAGCAATCAAATTTGCGCATGAACGACAGCCCAACTGTGGGAAGAAAGGGAAAAACGCAGAAGAGAGATCAGGGAAGGGGAAAACTCTATTGTTTGGAACATATATTTTTTAAATTTGCTTGTGTGACACATTTAGATTGGTTGTTTGTAAAACTCCTGTTGTACAGGACAGCCATGTATAATTCATTCACCATTTACAGACACAGAATTGCTGTGAACATAAGCATATACAAAGAAGAAGGGTTCCTAATAATAAGCACAAATCACTAGAAATGTTTGATCATTTTTGGTAAAGAATAATAATTAGAAGATAGTACCATGACAACCATTTCTCCAATCAATTCAGAAAATAAAATCAAGATGAAAGCAACAGAACAAATTAAATTAAAAGCCTCATATCTAATTTATTAACTGAAAGCAAAAAACATAACACGAATCAAACATTTGGAAAGCTAATAATCACTAACGATATAGGTTTTTATTGAAATCATAGAGTCGAGTGAGCAATCAATATTAATTATCATTTCAACGATCAACTTCTCCCATAATGAAATGAACGCAGATCAAGAAGACTATTAACATTTTATCAACAGCCAAGGATAACACAGAAAGGATTTCACTACTAAGTCCATTCCATCAAACACCTCGTAGTTAATGATAGCCCCAACATTTAATTCAAAACAAAGAGAAGAGAAAATAAACATCATTAAAACAACACCCCAAAAATTCCATATGAAACAAAAAAAATCCAAGATATCATCAAAAACAGATAGGAAAACAAATACCCATAAAAAATAAAAATAGAAAATGAGAAAAAAGAAAAGAATAGAAACCCATTAAACAATGCTCATGAACCAACATTTCCAATCCAATCAACAGCCTCTTTTCCAGCCCCCAAATCCAAGTCCCCATTCCTCAATCTGTTCAAGTAACCACTATTAGGCAAATGCTTGAATTCCTTTTTGACCATCAAAGCCAAGCACTCATCACTCTCCAAGTCCCCATTCCGCAATTTGTTTTTTTCCCTTAGGAATTTGTATGTTGTATATCAATATTTCTTTGATCAGTTTAGAGCTCACTTTTCATACGTTGATTAATTTGATTGGTCCTGTGTGGCTTCCATCTGTTTGTTTTTCATTCTTTGTGTTTTTAATCTTGTATGGATATACTGCCTACTGATATATAAAAAATTTGCATTAAATGTGGGTATGTTCTCAAATTGACAACTGGTGGCAAAATTGAAATTGACAACTAGTGTCAAAATTGGTTAATAAAAACAACATTGCTCATTCTGTTTGATTTATCCTACGAAGATGACAATGATTTTAGACAACAAGAGAAGTAGTGTACCACTTAGGCTACGTTTGGATCAACAATTTGAAGTGAAATTTGTGGAGGGAAAAGAAAAATGAATGAAAATTGAGTTAAATAGAAAAAAAAAATTAATTCCTTTTTCGGTTCCATTTAGAAATCCCTAAGTTCTTAGATGCAAACACAGTTAGAGATTCAAATGTAGGCCTTGATTATATTTGATTTTGTTACTATGCTTTGTGATCATGCTCACAAAATCATTACTGATGTGTCATTTAACAGTTGTCTTGATTAACTGGCACCGGTTTGCCGCTTCGCTAGTTTTACTGGTTGAACCACCGGTTTTTTCAATTTTTGGCCTAGTTCGGTTTTTGTAGATCTTCCAGACCGAAACTAGGTCTGGTCACCGGTTGAACCAACCGGCCTAGTCCAGTCCGGTTCTTAAAACATTGGCTCAGTCAATGTCGTCCGTTCTACTAGGTGAGGACATATAAACAGCAAAAATATAAAACAACCCCAAGCACCCAAATGGTGGATAATTCTAGATTGCTCAGTGTTATTTAATTGCTGAAATGAACATTAACATTTGGAGCAGACAAAATAAAGTTTGTAATTCAACCTTCTCTGTCATATTTATTTTCCTTGTTTTCCATGTGAGTGAAACAATGATTAATTTCTTTTCATTTCCTTTCTTTTTCTGCTCCTTTT